CGCCCAAACGATGTCTCATCCATCGCCAGCAGCCGGCACGAGCGCTGCTAAGAAACCCCAACAACTTCCTTGGACTCACCAAGAAACCCTCAACCTAATCCAAGCCTACCAAGAGAAATGGTATTCTCTGCAGCGCGGCCAACTCAAGGCCAACCAATGGGAAGAAGTCGCCGCAACCGTCGCCACTCGTTGCGGACTCTTAGATGACTACGCCTCCAAAACCGCCCTCCAGTGCCGTCACAAGATGGAGAAACTCCGCCGCCGGTACCGGTCCGAACGCCAGGGCCTTGGTCCGGGCTCACCTTGGCCTTACTACGACACCATGGAAGCTCTGGAGCACGGGCCTTTGTTTATCACGGGTCGACCATTGACTACCATTGTTCCAAGCAGAGAGAAACACTTTTATCCCGAAGATGGGCATGAAGCTCGAAATAACCACCATAACGACGAGGAAGAAGAAGAAGAAGATGACGAAGACAAAGAAGAAGAAGAATACATCTTCAGTAAAAGCCGCAGTATCAATCACATTCTGCGTCGGCCGACTGTTGTGAACCGGTTTTCGGGGCTTTTAAGCGATGGGAAGAAAAGGGTCAGACCGGAAGAGGATGGGGATGGTGGTGTGGCGGTTACGGGAATGGAGGAAGAAGACAAAAGAGTGGGAATTGCAGTGGAAATAAGGAGATTTGCAGAGAGGTTCGAGAGGATGGAAAGGAAGAAGATGGAAATAATGCATGAAACTGAGAGATTCAGAATGCAAATGGAGAACAAAAGGATTGAGATGATACTGGATTCACACAAGAAAGCTGTGGATCTCATATCTGCCAGTTTCGGGTTAAACAAAAGAGGGAATGTGGAAGAAGATTTGGGTTCCTCGAAGATTTTCCAAGGTTGAAAAACAATTTCTTGTTCTATGCAGGTTCGGGTTTTGTATAGATTTTTAGAAGGTTCTAACAAAATTTTGGAACTGCGATTGTTGAGATTTGCATTTGCCATTATCATTAGCATGATCCAGCTTTGAAACTCAAGTTCATGTGCCTTATTTTTCTTGTTCATTGTTGAATGGTAATACAAATTTCATGGCATGTTGTAGCCATTGCCCTTAGTTCACTTGTTGAATGAGTTATTTCTAGTGTAGGAAAAGAAAGCATTGGTGCCATTTGGATGTGTCTGCAAATTATCTGATATGAAGAATTGAATGATTATTGTTTTTTTAAAAAGAGCAGTGAACCCCACTGGTTGTGACATTGATCTGCGTTAATGGATAAATCTATACACTGCATATAAGCATGGCATACTTGTATGCTTGGACGGCTCCTATATGGAGAATCATTGGTGTAGGGAAAAAGTACTCCATAAAGAACTCAACAAATTAGCTAACGCTATGTTTTATTGAAGGAATGTAATAAAATAGCAGGAAATATACCTCAAAGTTCTGCACTTAAACAAAGAAAGAAAGGAACTTCAGTACGGGTTAGGGCACTTGAAAGAAAGAAGAAACAGTCTATTTTGTTGAGATGATGGATTAGCGGTGTGAGAGATTGTTGTTGTATCTGTGGCCACAGTGCCCCAGCATTAGTCCCACTAGAGGGTAGGTCACTTGAGAATTCTCTCTTCCCTAACCCTTGGGCTGACAGTGGGTACTTGATATATGTTATCAGAATGGGCAGCCATCTGCTGGAGATGCTTCGTAGAAGGGGAAATTGCCCCAGGAAGTAGCTTTTGCTGTGGTTTGGTTAATTTGGTGTTACTGTACGACTCGTCTCTCAGTCACTAATGGGCCTGGGTTTTAAGGAAGAGACGAGGATAAAAAGGCCTTTGTTTGTTCTTTGGGGGATTTTTTAGCCCAATAAAACAAACGGATAAATTATTTGAGAAAATAGGACAAGTAAAAGTTTATTTTGAGATCTACGATATTTTTTATAGTTTTATAGTATTTTTCATGTTGATGTGACAGTTTTAATAAAAAATATATTTTATATTTAAATTTATCACGTCGAGGTACCGAGTTTTAATAAAAATATATGTAAAAAAAAATGTTGTAGATCCCTAAACAAACTTCTATACGCTCTATTAAACTAAATAATTGAACTGTTGAAAAAAATCGTTCTTTGGCCCAGTTGGGCTTTTTAGTTACATTTATTATTTATTTATTAGGTAAACTACACATTTAGCACCCTAACTATTACTTTCATTCTGTTTTTATCACCTAACTACTTTTTTTGTTTTAAAATCCTACATAACGTTGCATTTTGATTTCATTTTGATAATCTATCGTTAAAAAATTAATAGTGATGCTAATGTGTCACCGTAAGATAACTCCACATCATCACTAATTTTTTTCTTAAAAAAATCACGTTAACAACTTTTTAACAGCGGGTGGCTAAAATAAAACTAAAACATAACATTATGTATGATTTAAAAAAATAGTTCGGTGACTAAAATATAACAAAAATGATAGTTGAAGTATTAAATGTGTAGTTTACCCTTATTTATTTACAGCTATGAATTTACCATTGTTTTGAAATACCATACAAAGAAGGGGATCAAAATTGCAGATTCCCCTAAAAAGTCCAAACAAAATCTTTGAAGAATTGCAAAACAGAGGGGTAGTTGGTATTGACACAAGGACCCCATCAAAGTATTTTTCTTAATATATCATAAGTCACTGAATTATGCTTATATAATGGTTTTAGTCATAAAATGTTAAAAATTATAAAATAATCATTAGATTTTTAAAAGTTACAAAATAACTATTAAATTTAGTATGATAAATTTGATAATCATTGTGTACATTTTGAAAGATAAGTGACCAAAACGATCATTTAAATATAATTCACAGAATTCTTATGTAGTTTATCCTTTTTGTTTTCCACGATGGCTCTCATTTGATCTTACCAACCAAACCTACTCCTCTATTTACCTTAATATCTATTTCTGGGTTTAGTTTTATCAGCAAATCTGTGCTCTTCTTCTTCTTCATGCAAGCAAAAGAGAAATGGACGGGGAAAGAAAGGTCTACACTTTGGCTGAGGTTTCTCAACACAATCATGCTAAAGACTGTTGGCTTGTCATTGAGGGCAAGGTAAACACTTCTTTTATTCAGCAGAGATTTCGTTGATAACCTTTTTTTTATTAATAGGTGTTTCGTTTGTTTGAATTTTGATTTGATTCTAATAATAAGAAACTTTTGAATCCCAATGGATGTATCTCTCTTGTAGGATGACAACTTATATTCACTGCATATTTGAATGAAAGATTTTTTCCCTATTTGCGGATTATTTGTCAGATTCAAAACAATCATCTTCACGGTCAAATCCAATCTTTTCCTTAGATCTCTCATTGTCTATGGATCCTTTTGACTGCCGGAGCTGCATGCATGAATAGGCCGTTTGCTATTAAGTCCCTTTGATTTGCTTACTTATTATCTTATTATGGATTGTTGTTTGTTGATCACATCGCTTCCATTAGATTTCATTTCACCCTTAAATGCACTATATTTTTTATGAATTCCGCATGATGGACTTTGTACAATGTAATCTATTTGTTGTTGGTGATAAATTTCATTAGGAGAGCCTGGCAGTTGTGTGTATTTGATATTTCCCCTCGATTTGCAGAGTACTTGTTGTCCTTGGCATAAGAACGTTTCTATTCGGGTTCCTTAGTTATTAGCTTAATCCGGACTGGCGGTTTCGGTCATTCATATGCTTGCTTCACTGCCATTAGATTTAGTTTGCCCTTAAATGCAGCAAGTACTCTGCAAATTGAGGCATCATCTTTTATGTGTATTTTCCCACAATTTGCAGAGTACTTGCTCGTCATGGGCATGTAAGAATATTTTCGTCGATGATCTGCTTTTTTGGTTCCGTTTCTTTGAGGGCTTAAAAATTGGCTATGGTGTTTTAGGTGTCTGACATCATTTTATTGATGATTAAGTTGGAGAATATGAAAATTGTAGTAATGATATTCACCCCTTGCAGTATCGTACTTGTTAGTAGACGTGTTTTGGATGAGAATGACGCGGAAAGTTTATATATATTGTCTCCATATTGTACTTATGATAACATGAAGCAAGTTTCGGCTTCTGGTATCAATATTGCCATTAATTTGATTGCTAAATCCTATTCTAGAGTCAGCTATATACATTTATTTGGGTCGAGCATCGTGCTTTAATTTGCATTTTCATATCCTAAAAATGTCTAATCTCATGTTTGAACAGGTATACAATGTGACCAAATTCTTGGAAGACCATCCCGGTGGTGATGATGTCTTGCTGTCTTCCACAGGTACGACATATGTCCACAAATTTTCTACTTGTTTTATGTAATCTGATGTCGGAGCCACTTAGACGACTTGATATGGTTTGCAGGGAAGGATGCAAGCGATGATTTCGAGGATGTTGGTCATAGTAGCAACGCACGAGCAATGATGGATGAGTTTTATGTGGGAGACATCGATACATCAACCATCCCCTCTAAGACAAAGTACACTCCTCCCAAGCAGCCTCACTACAACCAAGACAAGACCTCGGAATTTGTTGTAAAGCTTCTCCAATTCCTCGTTCCCCTTCTAATCTTGGGATTGGCCTTCGGTGTCCGTTTTTATACCAAAACACCAGCTTCGTCTTAAGCATCGAGACCCCGAAAATGAATTTGAACAGTTCACAATAAAATTTATGTTAGTTTAAATTTGTTTGGAACTTTCACATTCTGTGGGATTGTAAATGGTTGGATATTATTATTCAAACATTTGTTCCCATGCAGCAGAAGCTTTGGTTCGTCTCGGATTGTGATAATTTGATAATTGTTTTTTCTCCTCGTGTTTGCTTATTCTCTCTCTTTTCTGTGATCAGTTTTTGACATGAGTGCTCATTCATCACGCTAATGATAAGAATATCTGCAAATGAACATTTTTTTTACATACAGTAAATTCTGCAGGTAAATTCTATACTATATCCGAGTTGTTTTCTATAGAGACCAATCGCAATCAGCGGAGGACCTTGAAGAACTATGTCTTCTCAGTGCAAATAAAGGCATGTGATTTTAATTACTCACTATTGGCTTGCGCATGTTCTCTCAATCGCCTTTGAATCTGTTTGGTAGGATTGCCTCGAGGGAGAACTCGATCCTCTCGAAGAGCCTTGTCCGAAGAAGCGTAGTTTACTGATTTTCCTCGAGAAGGAACTCATAAATCTACGAGAATGAGACCTTGCCATGTTTCTCTTCATATAAGCGTGTTCCTTCTCTAGATCATTTAGTCTCATCCGAATACGAGAGAGCTCGAGTTTTAGCTCTCGGTTTTCTCGTTTCAGAGACGCATAGTTGTCTCCAGGAGACATCACTGCACTGAGTGCTCCGCTGCTGATCCGCCGTGATTGGCGGTGATGTGCTGACTTGCCGTCATCGGTATAAGAGCAGCATAAATCATTTCGTAGCCTTAACTGCTCGAAATAAAGAACTTGGATCATTGATAGGAGGGGAAGTCGTTCATTTTGTGCAGCATGTGCACCAGCTTCTTGTGAGAGCTTTTGGAAATCAATTAATTTGCATAGTTTCTTCTTGTCTGCTTCCAGTATACCCTGATGAGCCTGAACATGCATTCATTATGAAGTTAAGAGAGTTAGTTTCGGATACGGGTATATCTATGTTACTCGAATTTGAGTGTTAGTGTCTGATATGAGCATATCTCCAACACGAATAAATTGAAGAAGGTATCAGCGTACATACTTTCAGGTATATATCGATCGCTCGATATAGGCCGTCATGGATGGTACGAGCATGTGCAGGTAAAGCCTCTGCAATTGCCATAAACTGACCAAGCTTGACTTTTGCATCAGGAGCAATTTCTGCAAGATAGTTATCCACTAGTTTCGAAACTTTGAGTAATGCACTTTGGGATGGCGAATGAGGACTATCGGATTCGAAAATGGATACATCATCCATATCATCGACACAATCATCTTGCTGAGAAAAATTTACCAAGATTCTGTGAACCGTATCGACATCAAATAAGGCCTCGCATCCGTGTCGAAAAGTCGGGATCAAAAGGTCATCGAGAGTTGCAATATCTAACTGAGATCCGATCCTTCGCTCTAGATCAAGCCTACAAGCAATAGTGCAATCAACCATCACGGCACTTCTAAGGAGTCCAAAAAGGAAACTTATAGGAACAGCAAGTTTTTCATTAGGCAAAAGGCTGATGATTGTCTCGATCACCAGTCTCTCGTGCTCTGCCGAAACCGAATCAACTTTCTTTATCAGCTCCTTTTGCACATAATTCACAAGGGATGCACCAATACTCTCGGGACGAACACCGCGACGTTTCATGGCGATGATGACCCTTTGATACAAATCGATCCGAATAACCGAAAGATCTTCTATCCACCATTCACCCTCACATTTGGCTTCCCTGTTCACATGAAGTCTACCTGAATCGCTGTACTCTAACTGGGAGAAACTCGACGCAATTTGCTCGACACAAGCCTTCGAGGCTATTGCATCGATGCAACGACCGACTATTTTCAACTCATCCGCGAGGGGAAGTAGATTTTCACATTGTTGCAGAACTTGAACACACATCTCCATGTTCTTGCAAACAACGCTTTCAAGATATTCTTCAGCACGTGAGCCAAGGGTATCGTTCATTTCGAGGTAATCCGAAACGCAACAGAGTGGAGCCACGTTCAAGGATGTAACTTCAAAGTTAATGCCATAGCAGAATTTTGCAGCCAACTCAAATGACTCGACTCCTCCAGGTAGATTCATGAGCTCCACCTTGGGGATATCAGAGTCCCTATGTTCTGCAACTAGCTTCCGGATTCGGCCGCTTCGAGAGACGAGAGGAAACTGCACGTAACAATCATGATCATCAGAAGTACAACATGCCTAACATCAATTCATTGTGCTAAAACTGTATGGATAAATTTTGAGAAGTGAAGGACCAAATTACCTTGTGTAGAGCAAATGTCACCCCGTTTACTTGTATTGTGATATCACTTGGAACATCCCGGAAAATCCTACGATCAACAGAAAAACCATGACAGAAGCTATAATTCAATGAACCAATCACAAAATTAAGTGAGAGAAAAAAGATCAAAGCTGTAAGGACATGTTAAACAAACACACTGCTAGAATAGAACTTGTACCATTCATTGCAACTTTGCTGGGAACTCTTTGCCAAAGAAAGCTGCTGCTGATGGTGCTTGTTCATTGTCAGAGAAAGCAAGTAAACTCGGGAGAGAAAAAACTGGAAAAGATGATGAAAATAGAGAAATAAAAGGGAAGAAAACCATGGGATAAGTAAAAAGGTTGCATTACTAATCGGATTAGTTCAAGTTGTAAGCAGCTTAATATTATTAAAATAAGGTCTCGAATTCGAGTCTTTATATGCAGAAAATCTCTGCTGAGAGACTTACCCACCAAAATCAGATGTGCGACGCGAGTCGATCTGATTTAGTCAAGGTAAAACCTTGAAATCGGGAGATCAATCAAAAAAAACAAAAAACAAAAAACATTTGTTTAATGATAGACTATAAATCATTTAACGTAGAAAATTTACATTCCTAATTTTTCTGGTACTTGAACCCGAGAGCTCAAGCAATAACCACATTTCCCTTATAACATTTAATTTGTACTTGTAAAAAAAATCTTATTTTGTTGTATCGTAAGAAAATTAAATAATCATATTATATTGATCTATTTGGAATGAGGTATTAAATTTTTATGTAAAGATCAAATATTTTTAATTTTAACGTTGAATGAAGTAAATTAAATTAAAAATTCTTTTATAATGAAATTTTACGATATTTAATATAAACTAATCCATTAAATCAAATATTAATCGAAAAATATTAGGATTTGAAAAGTCAAAAATCTCTTTAGAAAATAGAAACAAAAGAGAGAGTAAAAGGAGCTGTAACTTTAGACATTCTCTGCATGCTTTGTTTCCTTTCCTTTTTCTCATCAAAAGCATAAAAATAATATAGTTTTAAGGTTCAAATCTTTAAATAATGATGAAAGTTAATTAAATTATAAAAAATAATCACAAATTTTTTATAGTATTTAATTTAAATTAATCAATCAATAAATCAAATACCAACACTTCTATAATTAAAAAGAAAACTAAAAAATAATGCCAATTGCCTTTTTAAAATTTGGTTATAAGTTATGTTTTTGGATATTACGTTGTCATCCCATCAACGGTAAAAAATTTCATTTTAAACGTTATTTTACTTTCATATTCAATGTTTTATGAGGCCAACTCTAATTATTATTAAAATAATAAAACATAAGAATGTTTCTATTTTATATTTTGAGTATTTTTATCCAAAGGCCATGTCAATGTGATCCAATCAGACTTTTTAAATGCGTCGAATCAAAACAATCTACAAGTAATTCTCACCTAAGAAAAATAAATGAAATTTGATGTATCTATCTATTTTTTTTATTAATTTTGGTAGATATAAATTAATATCTGTATAATGATGATTTTTAATCGTTTGATATCGAATGTTTACATTTTTGACATTTTTTATGTTTGAAGACGAAATCTCATGAAATAACAATAAATTTTTTTACTATTGAAATAACTCCGTAAGTGCTGACGTAGGTATGTATTCAAAATGTATCAATCAAAGGAAATTCAATCCAAAAGTTAAGTTCGTTCCTTTGATATTTTATTTTATTTTATTTTTTTACTTCATAATAACAATACAATATTCAAGAGCCGATTACACCGCACTGTACTATTGTCAATACATTGATTAAATTTGCTTGAAACATTGAATTAAAAAAAGAGCAAATTGTTTCCTTTATATTTCATTTTCAACAAATGACACAACTTGCAAGACCGAGTTACTTTCACCACCACACATACAATATATGTAACAAATATATTTAATAAAATTTAGCCTTCCAATGATCATAGATGTAATAATATTTTAATATTTTTAATTTAACTCATATGATCATATCTGATTAATTTATATCATCAAACTCAATTAATAACTTAATTAATAGATTAGTCTTATAATACCTATATGGATGAGATAAATAAAAAAATCAAATAATAATAATATAAGTAAAAAGAGCGAATAATAATTTTTTTACAAAATAAAATTCATTAATTTTATTAAAATTAAATATTAAATTTGTTAATTTTATTATACACAAGGAAATCAAATTGTCGGAACCGTATTTCGGTTGGGCCCCATAATTGGGCTTCGACTTAGGAAAATGGATTGGAGTCGCCACCGATATTTTATTTTTAAAAAATTGGTAGATCGGATACCTTATTCCTTACCTGATCTGCATCTTACCAGTGATATGTCGGATTCGGGAGTCGGTAACAGTCAAGGAAGGGTTAGCACCCTTGAACTGCCCTTTCAGTACTACACAATTTTCAGTTATCTTTAAGTAAGAAAATTGTAAGTTTAATTAAAAAATGTAAAATAACGATCCCAAAACTTACCTATGACCGATTGAAATAACCTTAAAGGAAAAGGAATGTTAAGGGAAAAAAATGAAAGTGAATCGAAAATAAAAACAATAAGAAATAGATAAAATAAAACAAACGAAAAAAATAATAATAAAATAAATGAAGTAAAATGTATGTAAATAAATAAATACATAACAACTAGACAAGAAAAATAAATAAATAAAATAAGATAAATAAAAGAAATGAAATAAACAACGGAATATGTATAAAGATAATAATAATAAAGAGAAAACTAAAAATATATATATACATACATATATACAATATAATAAAAATAATAATAAAATATAAATAAATAGAAAACCAAAATGAATATATATAAAAAATAAAATAAGAAACATAATAATAAAATAATAATAGTTATACAAAAGGAATAAAAATAATAAAAATAATCACAAATGGGTTAAATTGAAATTACAGCAAATTGAGTGGCCAAATTTTGAAATAAAACCAAGATGTAAACTCGATTGGGGACCAAAATTAGCTTGTAAAAACATAGAGGGACAAAAAACGGGATTACTCCCTTTCTTTTACAAAATGCACGGATCCAAGGGCAAATGGGTCGGGTCATGGTCGGGGCTCCACGGGCTTAGTATTTAAGTTAAAAAAATTATAATCCTCATTTCTTCTTCCTTTCAAACGAATGAGCCCCCCTTCCTTTAAACTTTCTCTCAAATGTTCATCAACCAGATGAACAACAACTGCAGATTCCAGATTCCGGCGACCCATCTGCCTCGCAAAGGTAGACTTTTTCCAAAAGCTCTTCTTGTGTAGATTACAAAAATCCAATTAGTTTTTTAAAACGGGCCTCAGGGGGGGTCGTAGATCTAACAAAAATGTTTTGAAAAAAATACCCCCACCGGTCATCAGCCAAGATCCTTTTTTTGGATTTGATTCGAAAAAAATGATGAACAACATGCATGCAATGGTCTAAAGCAATAAAGGTACGAGCTTTTACCTTTTCTCTTTATTTTTTCCTTCGAAAAATCATTGTTCTTGGCTACAATTTGCTCTAAATATTTTGCTTTTTATTTCGTATCAACTCTTGTCCCAAAAATGGTGTTGCTTACAAGAATTTATAGGACTAAAAATCCTAATTTTAGGTGTTTAAAACCGAAAATAATACTAATATTATTGTTGTGTTGGTTATGAATGAGTCTTGCGAGATCCTTGCATTTGTTGTGGGTGCCGTGATCTCTGGCGTGGGACTCGGGTTATTGGAGGCATGAGAAAGGCGTGCAAAAGGAGGACTGTGGCGCCGGTGGAGAGAGGCGACAGCTGCTAAAATAACTGAAACCCTAATTTACCATAGGGTTTTTTATTAGGTCGTGGGTTGGCTTGGTCTGTTGGGTGTAACGGGCTGCTGCTGGGCTTTTTGGTCTTGGGCCTGTGAAATAAAATGTAAATATGTGTTAATATATATATATATATATATATGTATATAATTATATAATATAATATTATATAAATAACAGTGGACGAAATTAAATGTCTTCAGCTGCCCCTCTTTGCTCATTTTCGTGTAACAAAAATAGAGCAAAGATTAAAAGACACGAATTTCGTCCATATCGAATGCCCTCTGTCGTAGAGTTGAGACCCGATATCAAGAATGGTTTGTCAATTTGAACTGAAATATGAAATGACTCCCTCGTTGTGAGGTTGAGTAGAAACTGGAAAATTCCGAGCACGAAATCCTTCATTGTAAAGTGGAAATCGAACTCAAAGCTTTGACCAGTAGCTCCTGGATCGTTTTCTGGCTCAAGATATTTCGTCGTGAAGGTGAAACTTGTCCTGAAGATTTCGGTGTTGCTGTGTTACAGATGACTCTTTCGTCGTGAAGTTGGGTCAATCTTGGTTTAAACATTCGACTGGAAAATAATTCTTTAACTCCACCATGTGGTTGATAGGCCTTCGAGCTGAATGAAATCGAACTTGAAAAGTCTTCGCTAACAAAAAGCTTTTCTCGACTTAAGTTATGCTGTCGGAATACCTTGATTGCAACCGGACAGTAGTGATTGATGTGTCATCGAGCTGGATGGAATCGACCTTGATAATTTTGTTGGCAGATAACCCTTCTTGCCTTGAGCTATGCTGTAAATTTGATTTGCCTCTGATTTGAATGACATGATTCAGATGGTCCTTCAAGAGAAGTTATCTCAAAAGAGACAGAATTCGTTTCAAAGGAAAAGATCTCAAAGATATTTGTTGTTTCATGAGAAACGTCTCAAGGCAAACAAAATTTTGTTTTAAGGGAAATAAATTCAAAGATTTTATGTTTCAAGAGAAACTGTCTCAAGGGAGACAAAACTTGTTTCAAGGGAAATAGATTCAAAGATTTTGTTTCAAGGGAAACTGTCTCTAGAGAGACAAAATTTTTAAGAGAAAATGTCTCATGAGAGACAAAATTTGTTTTAAAAGAAACTGTCTCAAGGGAGATGAAATTTGTTTCAAGGAAAACAGATTCAAAGATTTTATTTCAAGGGAAACTGTCTCAAGAGAGACAAAATTTTTAAGAGAAAATGTCTCAAGAGAGACAAAATTTGTTTTAAAAGAAACTGTCTCAATGGAGATGAAATTTGTTTCAAGGAAAACAGATTCAAGGATTTTGTTTCAAGGGAAACTGTCTCAAGAGAGACAAAATTTGTTTTAAGAGAAAATATCTCAAGAGAGACAATTTTTTTTAAAAGAAACTGTCTCAAGGGAGACAAAATTTG